GTGCATAACATTAGATTATAGAATACCAGGATCACTATCATGAAGGGACTGTAATAAAGGGAGCAAAAACATGTATGCATGAAAATGTAGAAGCTTTCCATCTTGACACTAGAATTTCTGTGCTTATTTTGTGAACCACAGGAGTAGAAAAAAAGTTACAAAGCACTTTGCCAACTTTCCATCTTAATGAGTATACTACTTTTAGATAAATTCTTATTCTTTGGCTACTTAGTTGGTGACTTAACTAGCAGTAGTTAGTGTATGCTTAACTCCAGTAAAGGTAAAAACTGAAGAATCAATGCTAAGTCAAAAATAATGCTTGCATTCACTAAAAATATTGAGCAGTAATAGTTTACTACACAATATTTTCCTCTGAATTAAGTTACCAGCCAAAGCAGTGACATTCCTGTAACAGGTGATACCAATTTTATTCATGTTCTTCCATATTACATTTTCCATTATTAAAAGAAAGACAATGAACACCTTTGTAAGTACTTTAATCTGAAAATGCAGCAAATGTTTAGTATAGATAGGAAAAAAATCGATCTGATAGACAGCTAGATGGACCACCCATCTGAGGACATTTAAATTCTGAATAAGCATGTTTCCAAAATATCCCAATTCACATATTTTTGAGGAGGTGTTTTTGACACAAAAGCAGCTCTTCTGTTTTCCCAGCTGTCATTTTTGATTGTGGAACAGTATGCTTGGGCTGCAAGATCAGAGGTATATGTTCTTCCTCAATACTTGGTACTAGACAAAGGCATAACTGCTAGCCACAGGTAGCAATTCATCCAGAAAGGGGATTTTAAAGCAATGTCTAGTGGCAATCAAAGTAGCAAACCCTGTGACATTTCGGGAGGTGGACCTCAGTTTACCTGAATCTGCTATAGTAAGAAAATGTACATAATTCATGTTCCAAATATATAGAGGATGTAAGTCTTCAGCACAGGTTGTGTCCACCAAGTATACCAAACTAAATGTTACTATAAAAGTTATAGCATCCCATCTTCAGTGCTTGTTTGACCAAGTAGCTGTACATTATATACAGAAATACAAGGGTAGTTCTGCTGCTCCTAAGAGCTTCATGGAAAGGGAAAGACATCTCATTAAAAACCAGCATCTGGGCTTATAAATAGTGCAGAGAACGCAAATGCTAAGAAAACAATGCCTCCTATGATTGTCACTGCAAAAGAAAAAAGAAAATGTGTTTAGATCCTTTGTAAATAACACATTTTGCAGTATATATCTCAGGGCTCTGTTTTACCTGAAAACACCTGTGCCCCTATGCCTTCTTGTAGCATCATGATAAGGATCTTTGGTCCTTAAACCAAAGGACTCCACCACAACCCTCATACATGCAACTCAAACAACTAAGATGCTGCAAATGACAGACCGGCACACCTGATCACTTGCCATGTGCTGCATGAAGTGACTTAAAGTACATAAGACAAGGCAACATGGCTAATGCTATGGAGGTGAGGCAGACATGGGAGGAAAACTGACATTTAACTGTGGAGACTCTCGCAATCTCCCCCCCCCACCCCGCCCCCATCTTGAATATACTCTAGCAAACAGAATGCTTGCAGTTGGCAGTCAGAACTAGGAAGAGGAATTTGGGGAACATGTTCAGGAATCAAGGTGGAATTGCTTTTTGTTTTTTTTGTGAAAAGTTCCAAAACTCAGGAAGCAGGCTCACCATGTCTATTGACTGGGAGCAGCTCTCTGGGAGTTTAAACCCAAATCTTTTCTCAGCCCAAGGATTGATCCCAGAACATTTTGCATGCAAAGCATTTGTTTTATTCTTAAGGTGCAGCCTGTCAGTTACAGACAGCCTGCAAGCATCTAATGGATCAGGAATTTGGCCTTGTACCTTATCTGGGTTTTACATCCTTGCACTAATAGCCAATTACTACATTTACATTAGCTGCACAATAATGCTTAATGTGGTTCTATTTCACGTGGGTGTCACCTTGAACTTTCATTACTGAAAGTGATAAATTATTCTTCGGGTGCAAGTAATTCAGCTCATAAAATTCAATGATGGCTGGGGAGTGGGGGACAGAAAAGGAAGCTGCATTCAAATTATGCTATTAACAATAAGCAGGCACTGTATTATTCCTTGCTGGTGGCTTGAAGCACATGACTGGTGCATTTTTGAGCATTCATAAAGATGAGCAGTTTTTTATATTGACTTCTCACTCACATGAAGTCACCTACAGTAGCTCAGATATATACTTTATCCAGGAAACATTTCTCTCACCTCACAAAGACACATGAACCTTTTAACAGCAAATTAGCCTCTAAGATACAACCCACCTTCTGCCCCAGTTTGTAAAAACAAGCCACTATCCTTATGAAGAGCTTACTCACCAGTCCGAACTGAGATTTTTTGTGCTATCATTCTTCCTCCAATTACTGCTAGGCCAGTACACAAGCTATGTCCAACTGTTCCACCCACAGCCACACCATATGGATCCTGTGCAAACACACACAGTCAGGTTCCAGTATCATTTGAAACTTACAGGTCTTAACAGCCATTTCTTAAGGAGCATGTATTAATGCTTTCAAAGGGAGCCTTATGGCAAAGAGAGTGGGATAACAATCTAATAAATAAAATAATAAAGGGCATGAACAGACAAAAACACATGCAGAAAATATTGTCAACTGCATCAAAAGTTAAGATTAATGACCAAAGTGAGATCAATGAAGAGCCATTTCCTAGGATGAAGCACAATCATTTAAGGAGAGAGAAAAATAATACGGCAGTAAGCATGAAAACCATGACAATTGTTCTGGGCCATTTTAAATAACTACCTCTACTATAGGAATAGATGCACAATAACATTTAAACAGGGGTGGGTAACATGTGGCCTTCCAGATCTTGGACTGCAAATTCCCACATTCCTTACCAATGGTTAGAGGAGATAAGAATTTCAGTCTAAGAACTTGGAGGGCCAAATCTTTCCTAACACTGATTCATATTGCCCACATCCAGCTTCTACTAAGTAAGTTGTAAGGAACATGGAAATAACTGTAAATCCACTGATGGAACATAAAGGTCCTATGATCCATCCAGTCCAGCACTGCATTCACACAATGGCAAACCAGCCACCCACAGGATCTTTCAAACAGGTAGGGTAAAAAAATCTTCTACCTGCCCAAGCTCTTCAGCAACTGTTACAGACAGGCATGGAAAGTGCATAGCCAGCAAGGCTAATAGTCAACAATCTTCCTCCAGGAAATTGTCCAATTCCCTTTTAAAGTCATCCAAGCTGGTTGCCATCACTACTGCCAATGGCAGTGAATTTCATAGTTTAACTGTGCATTATGTGAAGAATTACTTCCTTTTATCTGTCCTAAATCTCCCAGCAACCAGCTTTTACTGGATGATCCCAGATTCTAGTATTATCTGTTTTGCTCTGTCCTAAGTGTTCTCATAGGATAACTGGGTCGTCTGAACCTCTAGGTTGCTAAGCAGTGCTTTAAAAGGCTGCAGCAGAAGTTGTCTGCATTGCACCCCCTAAGCAGTCTCATCTCAGCTCTTGTTCCTGCAAGCAAGTGAAAGAGGATTCTTTCAGTACATGTAGATGTTCTAAAAATCAATCAACTTTCCACAGACTTCAGATTTAGTTAACGATATTTCTTTACATTTATATCCCAGCTTTTGTCCTGCAAGGAACCCAAGGTGGCTTACATAATATGCCTCCTCCTCATTTCTGTTTTTATCCTTATCAACAACACTGTGAGATAGGTTAGCCTGAGAGGGAGTGACTGGGCCAAAGTCACCCAGTGAGCTTCATGACCAAGCAGGCTAGAATCCAGGTCTCCGGAGTCCCAGTCCAGCACTCAGATCACTATATCACAGTGTCTTTCCTGCATCACTTACTGTGAAAATTTCCAAATGTCATGAACTCCAAGCAAGAGAGCATGCATGTGCACAAGGGAAAAATCACAAGATACATTGCAGCAAAAAGATCTTGTCCTACTGCACAGACTTTCCTTAGGAAAAACTCTGAATATAGATTTCTTTGTGCATGTGTGAATGCACAATTTTTTTTTGTAAGAGAACAGTGTTGTAGTTGGAGTAGGAGAACCATTACAACTTGCTATCTCCACACTTATCAGGGCCTTGCTTTGGACTTGTCTGCTGGTCACAAACAAATCACTGCTATTCATTGGTTTCTCTGGTTTAATCTCTGGAAAATGCCATCACCATGGAATTCCTCTGCACCCTGGGAAGCCCATTTTCGGGATTCAATCTGTGTGCAAGCCCTGCAATGTCTCTGTGAATTTACTCAGCAATGCACTTCCTGGAGAATTTCAAAGGAGACATTACTGGACCTCCTCTTGAATGAAAGCTAATGATCAACATCAATTCATTTCAAGAACTGCAGGAGACATTCTTGTCTCCAGTCATCATCAGGTTCAGCTGTTCATTGTCCTACTGATTTTATTTTGTTGAGTAAGTTTAGGAGCTTTTTAAAACTAACATTGGTTCTCAAAGCAAACTGCAACAAAGAACGGACCTACAAACTGCTTGCCAAAACAGCATCACTCCCTACATTATGTACTGTAATACAGACTGATCTTTTCTTCTCCCAGCTATTTATTTGTTCTTTCTCCATAGGTGTAACAATGGCCAACAAGCAAGACATTCTTGGCTGTCTGCTGCAAGCGTCAGAAAGATCCTGCCATTGCAAAACGTCTTTCTGTTGTGCTGCAAACACAGCCGCACAAGAACCTGAAGCTACAAAGGGTTCTGTAAGCAAGTCAGGTTGGAAGATTGCTGGAAGAACCAGTAGCAGAAGTACCTGGATTGCCAACTTCAGAGTAGTTGGGTGAGATTTAGATTATATATTTAAATGTAGTTTCCACTATTCCTCAACAAAGGTGGAAAGATTAAGGAATTTTCCAGAGATGCTTAATTAGATATCACAGAACGACTAGGTTCACATATAACGTTAACCCATGATTTAAGTAGCCCATGGCAAAAGCCCAAAAATAGAGAACCATAATGCTGTTTTAAGATTCATGCCTCAATGAGGTTACAACATTAACTATGTCAGCAGTAAGCAATGCAACAGTACTATTAATGTAAATTATGTTGCACTAGCACAAGCAATCTCTAGTGCAGCACCATTCATTTCTGCTGACAGGAGTGATGGATGTGTTACATCAAACACCACCGGCAGTGCACTAGAGGCTGCTTGTGCCAGCACAACGCAGTTTACATTAGTTGTGCTGCCACGCTGGATTGGCTCTCTATATTGAATTATATCTTGAGACTTGAGTTCTCTGTTCTTTGATAACATGTCTTTCTGATAGCTTTCACTCACCTCTCTTGCTGCCAGAACTATTGTGGTTAACTGAGAGCGGTCGCCCCATTCAGCTAGGAACGTTAAAGTGAATGCTTGCACAAAAATTGGAGAAATAAAATGCAGCCATTTTCTCTGTGGTACGGTGGGGCCTGTTCCCATTTCCACATCTCCAGGACCATTTAACAATTTTGTTCTCTGGAGCTACAAACAAAAGGCGGGTGTCAAGAAACAAGGAAACCAAGCATCACAACTCAACACTCTATACCAAATATACACAGTTACTCCCAGATTTATAGTTACATTTTTATACACCATCATTTCAGCAGACAGCACTTAGCACAAAATTCCATTCTGCTCTTCCACTCTTCCAAAACTCCTTGAGAAGGTATAGTGACTATATTAGCAACAGTGTGTTAATAAATCCTGAAACTTACCTGGGATTTAAGAGTTTTAATTTTCCCATCTTGGCTTGGGAATAGAATGCACCCAAAGCATTTATGGTATGAGTACTTCAACATGGGAGCTAAAGTGGAATGCTGGTCTTAATCTGTGCTAGTGATTTCTAAAGAAATCAAGTTAACGAAGCACAGGAGCAATTCTGCAAGTTGTTAAAATTATATGGGATATCAGAGGCTGTATTTTCTGATGCAACCACCATACAAGAACTGCAGAAGTGTGTTCTTAACAACTGTATACCTGCTGGGTCAATTCTTAATTAGGAACAAGTACAGCAAAGCGCCTGGACACTTTCCATTTTCTTTCCAATTTCATTAAAGAATGCTACTGTGGATTCATGTTCTCTACATACATCAACTTACTTCTTCATCTTTCTTCTTGAGTTCTGCTTGAACTTCCTCTAGTTCTTCCTGACCCTCATCTGCACTCATTTTCAAGCCTTCCCGAAGCATTCGGATACCAAAAATTGCAAACAGTGCTGTTGACACATAGTAGGTGTAGACCCTGGGAATCACTGTAGTCGCATAGCCAAATAAAACTAAGGATGGAAAAGCAAACACTTCAGATTACTTGCGATGTAGTCCTTTCCTTATTGCATTTGCCTAAAAGAATTCAGTTGGGACAGTATGTAAAAGAAAATGAGATTTGCTGTTAATTTGGGAACACTCTCAATGTGTTCTTGCGTAAAGAACTTCTATAACAAGAACTCTGAGATCTCCCACTTGCAGTATTATTCTCCTGGATCTGATGAATACATTACGTTTGGAGTAGGGTTAGCAAAGTAGGGTTACCGCTTAGCAACGCAAAAATTGGATTCTCTTTTGTTCATGCTCATAATGTATTTTGCAACTCATGTACTTAAGATCTTGTCATACTTAATCAGATGCATGATCTGATCTGAGCAGCAGTAGTTTGGGAAATACTTCTGCCTGAGGTATTGAAAAACCCATACCTAACATCCAAGACACTTTAACTTGGGAAGAACTTAAGTGAACCTGGAACCATGGGAATCTGCATTAAGTTTTCTGAGGAGAGGCCAGGGAAGCAAAGCAGCAGAACATAGGAGATTGATGTTTTAATTTGCACACAGCGTGTGCACCACTACAACACACCTGCACATTTTCCATATGTGTGCACTTTGCTGCTTAGTATCACATTCCATGACGGTTAGAGGCCTATACAGAACAGCAGCAAATCCTGGGAATTGTACCATACGGATGCAGAAGTATCATGAATTCCAACAAACCTTTATTTGAAGTATTAAACACACACACTGAGGAATGAGAAAAACACACACAAATGCAGAAACATAATACAGTTGTCTTAAGAACATCACACTGAATATTTAATGACATCATAACACTGACAAGTTCATGTGACTTGCCTGATTTCCTTCATCTTGGAAATGTTGGTGAACACTCTCTAGAGCAAACTTTCTCAACCTAGTTCCCTCCAGAGGTTTGGGACTACAACTCCCAGCATTCCTGACCATTAGCCATTCTGGCTGGAGCTGATGAAAGCTGAAGTCCAAAACATCTGAAAAGTACCAGGTTGGAGGAGAAGACTGTAAAGAGCAGAAGTCAATCTCTGAGAAGAGTTTTCAGCGGTGGGAGGAAAAATGGGAATGCTTGATCAGGGGCTTTGGATTTTAGAAAAGCTAGATCTAGTCTTTTACTTTTTTCCATTGTTATCAGCCAGTTTCTACACCAACTAACAATACAACCTTTGCATATTTTCAATTCTGAACTGCTGCAAGGTACTTCTGGGGTTGCTTATTTTTTCTGGAACTGCACATTCTGTGTTGGTACAGTTTTAAAAGGCCCTGATAGTCCCAGGCTCACCTTTTCCAGCAGATCTGGCCACCACATCTGCCAAGCAAGGCAGACCTGGCCTCTGGCAAAGTTTGCACTAATGAGGTCCTCACCAGTGCACTGGCAGCACTTGATACTATCCTATGTTAGTAATTGCTACTTCCATGGATTGCAGCTTAGGCACATGTGCATATATATGACAATTACACAGAATTGCAGTTCTTACAGCAGCAGCTCTTCCTACTGAGTCACTCTCTGATCTATTGTGACTTCTCTCTTCGGTAGCACAAATGTTTGTAGCAGTGAGACCTGGAAAGCAAACTCTGTCTGTGAGCAGTTCTCCCTGCACATAAGTAATGTTTTTTTGCATTGCAGCTTCAATAAGCAACATTTCAGGACAGAAAAGCTACTGCACTAACCTGATAAACAGGTCATCAGCCCCAAGGCAAGCATAGCACCAGCCAGCACTGTTAAGCGGTTGTAACGCATTGCCATGATGGCTGCAATAAAGAAAGTCTTATCACCAAGTTCAGAGACAATGATGACCGATATGGCAGCCACAAATGCATGGATAAATCCCAGGTTAGTCTTATCTAGAGAGTCTTCACTGACAGAATGGACAGCCGCAACTGGAGAAGGCCCTTTCTGAAAAGTAAGAGAGAAACATTTAACTTGTCTACCCCTTCATCTTGATGTATCCCTAAATCTATACATTTCCTTCTTGAATTTCCATGAAAGATTCTATTTTACTTCAGTCTCTTTTACATCCTGCCACTGGCCACAAGCTATGTATGTGGTGATCAAACATTAATTTATTACATACCCACAGCTACTTAATCATAGAACTTGCCTGCACATATTGTCTTAAAGAATTATTTTGAGATTCACACTAATAGAGGGGAAAAAATCAGATCTCAGCTGTCCATGTTTCCCAGAACGCTGACAAATGAAACACATGAATTTGTACTCAAATATAGTGCATTAGCTAGCTTGCTTGCGATATACAAATACAGATTTAAGATTTCACACAGCTTGTGAAATTTCCATAAATCCTACCTCTTTATTCAGATGAAGCTTCACTTAAAATGCCAGCTTCTGTACAAGAAGATTTTTTTAAAAGCCGACATTGTCCCTTCCCTATACTAAGGCTATTCAATAGTGTAACAAAGAGAAAATTAAATTTTTGAAGAAAATGGATCATGTTAAGAGGCCGGCATTAACTTTACCTACAAAATCATCCATGGTTGTAGCAGCAGCAATGGACACCATAAAGGCAATTTGTGACTTGTTTAATTCATAAACTGCTGGCGCTGTACCAGAGAAGCAAGCACACTGCCTCCCACATACTCATACTTCTGCTCTGCATCCTATTTATTGAACAACGTTGTTTGATATAATGTATAAACCAAGCACTCTTAGTTTCTGAGGAACAGACAACCCAGGGTTTGAATTTGTGCATTATAGAATCGTATATGTCTGGGTTTTCTATAAGCAGGATGCAAATTGCAAGAGCTCAACATGAGGGAAGTATGAACGGCCCAGGTCAGTCTCTGTGTCAAGCAGAAGGCCATCATTCCTCGTATCACAATAATGCTGTGATTCTATGGGGTCCCTGGGAAAGCATCCAAGGGGGGTCAAGATTTTTCAAATCTTCACATCTGAGAGAAGGGGAGATTCTCCCTTGAATCAGCATGTTACCAATATGGGGAGGGGAAAAAAATCATACCACTCCTAGGGTAAATTATTTCCCTCTCATTGTTATCAATGAAACAAGAGTAGGTTGGGTTTTTTTTTTTTTTTAAGGAATGAGGAAGGAAGTTTTAAAAAAATCCCCAGAACTTCTCACAACTCTGGATACTGCAGCAGTTCTAACATGACCCAACCATCCTGAAGGCTGAACTGATCCAATATAATATCCATCTTTACAACACACCAACCTAGTTCACAGAGAATTATTCACTTGTTAAAAAACCAAGTGCAGGTGGCTCAAAGTCTGAAGGGCAAAATACCTTCATACCTCATATTTGCTGGCTGAATAATACATCAATGATGAATCATCATTGTGCAAATTAAAACATTACATATTAACAAAAATGCTAAGATGAGGGAAAATATGCTGAAGTGGTTAGAAGTCTTACTGTCAGTTTTGAAGGACCATTTGTGTATTCACTCAGGTATGCGTAGCAGAATACAAAAACTGGTATGAGAAGTGTCTCTGTACTTATCTATAACATGGTAATAAACTGCTAAATGAACAGACTTGTGCTGTACCCCAGCCCACTAAGCACTGAACTACACTGTCCTTTCAGTCTTATCTTCTAGTGTTTCTTTGGAATTTAGATGTGTTATTTTTCCTTTCCTATTTACAGGTTGAAAATTCTAGAGCACTTATGTTCCTTACATTTTCCCCACCCCTCCAATCCGCCACACAAGTGTACAGTTCCCACCCATTGTGTTGTACAAGTGGGACCCACCACTTTCACAAGGTAGATTTGTGAGGAAGCCTGGATACAAGAGAGTGTTTATTTGTGGAAGGGGGTAGATGTGTGGATCTCCCTTCTGAGAACTCAACCTACTTGCCTCCTTCCAGAAATGGGCATTTCCCTCTGATTCTGGGTAACTCCAGAAGCACTAATGCATCCCACAATCAGTGGGGTGGAAGAGAACTGGCAGAGGTCGAAGCGTCTGAAAGGATTCTTCTGAAGGATACGCTATCTTTATATTTTGCAAATGTGGATTTGCAAATGTGGATAAGGGGGAAATACCTAAGAGTTCTAAGTAAATTAAATAGAGTTGTTAAAATTTTTTACTCTTGCCAGTTGCAGCAATACATGATAAGATTTCTCATAAGTCATAATGACTTCAAGTTTATTTGCATTCAGGCTGTATATAAAACAGGTTTCACCTTGTCTGTCCTCTGTCACTGATAACTCAACTGTCTGTAGAGGAAGAGGATTGAGAACAACATGAGAAGCAACTTTTTGTGGATAAAGATAACTCTTGCAGTAACATTTTTATTTATTAATTAGATTTATATCCCACCTTTTTCAACCTCTCCAAGCCTGTTTAGACAAATTGCTGATATTATCCAACACAAGAGCTATTCCATATGTAAGCTGTTTGAAAATCTTTAAATCACATTTGTTTTGAAGTATTTATTTATTTATTTGTTTAGGGAACTTCTATATGCCGCCCCATTTGCCGAAGCCTCGGGGCGGCTCACAAACATAACATGTTTGAGGCCATGTTTCTTTTTATGATATCTTTGTGTTTGATCATCATTATTAAAGCTAATGTTAGTCATCCTTACACTGCTTTAATGATTTTAACTTTTACGTTAAGCACACTGTCTCCAGCTCATAAATAAAACAGTGTTACTTTTAGTTTGAAAGAACTTAGTCATTGTGTGTTAGAAGCATGGAGACCTTCCATTAATGACAAGTGTGATAACAATTGATGGTATTTTCAGTGTTATAGCGTGTATGTTTGAACTATGTCACTAGATCTCTAGAACAGCTATATCATTACGGAGAACTGGGGCCAGAATCTCAATTCACTAAAAATGAATTTTAAAAAATCAATACAGCTTTATAGTAGGTGCATTTAGGAAAAAAATTATAGGTGCTTCTAATCACACTATCAATCGACCAATGAGCTGATAGTCTCACAAAAGTAGTTTATTGTTACTCTCCCATGGAAGCAGAAACCAACACCAAACATGTTCAGCAGAACATTGATAAATCAGTTGTCCATAGAAAGAAGGGGGGGAGAATATATGTGATAACAGAATTTGAACATCTGTTATTTACCTTGCATCATCAAGATCACAAAAATTTATCTACCCAAGGCTGCAGAGAAGTCAGAGTGACCTGTTCTAGAGTTCACACAGGTCTTTACCAAGCTGTGCTACGCACATGCCATAAATCTGATTCAATTTTACAAATGGATCTCTCTACCTATTATACGTCTAAAATTCTTCATATTGTTTCCTATGATTACACTGGTGTGCACAAACTTACATATACACACACTCTTGAATATTCATGCTGGGAAGTTATGCACAATTATAAATATCTGTTGTCAACATTTTGCTATTCCTCGTAGCATACACACAGGTATAAAGTACAAAGAAGCTGTAAAAAAATTTGCATTATACATTATTTGAAATGAACATTACTTTAGAAAAGGTTATATTCTCCCAATAAGTCAGCCTGAAAACCAGTATTATATGTTATATTCTACATAATGTTAATTTGTTATATACTGTATTATAGTATAGATAATATAGTACATATGGTAGCTCATCCTATGTTCCCGATGGTCTAAGATAGCTGCTGCCTTAGGCTTTCCTTCTGCCTGGAGAAAAAGATGTCATATATGTTCTCCCAGCACAACTTCCATCAAGTAGAAAATTCCAGATTTTATCGCTTATCTAAGGCTTGCTAGGAAACATAAAATTTAATAACTGCTTAAGGATATACTCTACCAGTAACAACTTGGCAATAGCAGACATAGGGCAAGTTCACACATGCATTTTGGGCAACCTCCTTCCAGTTAAGTCAACAGTCGCACAACGTTCTACGTGGTTCTTCCTCACTAGACTTATGCAATAAGTTGTTATTTCAATATCTCAGCGTTACAACAGAGGAAAGAATACAGTAGCAGTAACTAGGATTCTGTTTCCCAGAATGGCTATCATATCCCAGGGAGCACTGGGAGACTGCCACACAACAAATCTTCACTGAAAATAAGAGAAACTCCATTGCCCATATTCTTAGTATTATGTACTATTACATTGGGTTAAATGTGTTCAAATAAAACATATTTATATTCTATCATGGAATATTCATGTTGGGAGCATCTGACAACTATCGTTTTCACTGCACTGAGCAAAAATATTGCAGACCCACAAACAAAAAAGCTGCAGTTAACAGAAGATGAGGCATTCTCAAGTGACATAGGGGACATAGGGGATTTTTAAAATTGTTTTCATTCATGTATTATATTTCTATACTGTCCAAGAGCCAAATCTCTATGATCGTTTTACAAAGATTAAAAACCAAAATGCATTAGGCATAGAATGAAAACCTTTTACGCAGGAACATATAAACAGACAGCACATGCAGAGACACATACACACAACTTTAAGCCACCACATGTAAACAAAGAAAACATTTAAAAAAACCTGAGTCAGAAGGGGTATCCTGGGCCATCTAGTCTGATACCTGGATCCAGACAGCTCTGCTCATGTAATCCCCAACATGTGGTTTTCCCAAACTTTCCTTGAACACCTTCACTGATGGGGCCACAACCACCTCCCTTGGAAGCTCATTTCATATCCTAATAAAAATCCACCACCCAATTAAAACTTGATCAGGAACAGCCAGACACTGGGGAGAAAAGGAATGTCTCAACTCTGAAATAATGTATGGTTATGATGCAGGAAAATAATTTCATAACTATGACAGGGAGAGCATCACTAAGAAGACCTTCTCCCTTCTTGCCACTATTTGCACAGCCTTGAAAGAGGCACCTGGTGCCTTAGAGGATGGATGTGGTATATTAGCCTGTTTTAAAGAATTGCTAGTTCTCTTTTTACTCTGATACTATTGGATGTTACATACCCATTTGTTACTCTGGCAGTCCTAGAGTTAACCACTGAAACTGGGTTCCTGTCATAAGCTTGTGGCCCTGATAACCTTTCAGACATCCTATGAAATGAACTCTGGACTAAATGGCTTATTCCACAATATACACAGGTAACTCCCAAACACACTGGAAGCTGACGTTGCACTATTCAAGCACGTGCAAATTCTGCTAGAGCCCAGGAGTCTCAGCCCAGGTTGAGAGAGAAATTTGCCAAGGCAGGCAGTGACCATAAAAGGCCATTTCCACATCCATCTTCTCAGGCTAGGCCTTTCCTACATCTCTGGTGCTATTTCAGTCGCACATGCTTTGGAGAAGTAATTTTGCTCACAGAAGAGGTGGAGCATATCTCGTGCATGTAGGCTGGAAAAATCTGTGGAGGATGGTATAGCAAACTTTCCCAGACTGGTGCCCTCCAGATCTTCTGGACTAAAATTCCCATCAACTCCAGGCAGCACAGCCAGTGGTCAAGCGTGAGAACAGCTGTAGCCCAAAATACCCAGCTGGGTAAGCCTGTGACGAGCCACTCCAACCTGGTGCCCTCCAGATGCCTAAGACTATAGCTCCCACAATCCCAGACCATTCCAAGATGGGAGCTGTAGTCCAATACATTTGAAGGCAATCTGGCTGAGGGGGCTGATGCCGTCCTCAGCGGAGCTTGCGCCCCTCCACCTTCAACCCACCCAGTGGCGTTCAAGGACAACGCACGTCTTTCAGGTCCCTCACCTCTGCCCGGGCGAACTCCGGCCCTTGCACCGCAGGCTGCTGTGGCGGCGGCGGCTTCTGCTGCTCCTGTTGCGGCAGCGGCTCTCGATCCTGAGCAGCTTCCTGCTCGGGCGCTGCGAACCGAGCAATGAAAATGACCAGGAGCAACAAGGGAAGCGGCCGCAGCCGCGTGTGGGCCGCCATTCCGCGCCCCGAACTTCACCGGCCTCTCTCGCTAGGAGGTAGAAGAGCACGATCGGAGGCGTCGCTTCCCCACCGCCATGGCCGCTTCCTTCTTTCCGACCACTCAACCAAACGCGCTCTCCTGTCTTTCCGCCACGCCACCGAAGCCTTAGAGACGCCCCGCCCCTACTCCACAGCTGCCTCTCTGATTGGGCACCTCGCCTCTGCCTCCGCCGCTGCGTTCAAACAAGCAAGTTTCGAAAATCCTTTCGTCAAGGAGAAGGAAGTTGGGCTTGACCGGCCAGGGCGGGAGCGAGACGGGCCGTCAGCCAACCAGTCACCCACCTGGATCACGTGACACACGCTTCTCTCCCCCTCTACCCGGTCCTTCTTCATCCGGCTGATGGAACCTCCACGTGGCTTTCTGGAGTTGAAGATAGCTGGGATCCTATGAAGCCTGTAGTTAGCCGGAGGAAATTTGGGGAGCAACATAAGGGAAGCGAGCTGTGATGCTCCATGCCGCCGCCCAACGATTTGTAATGCCTAATATCTCAAACCCATAACACTAATCACAAAAAAAAGGCAAAATAAGCACATGAAAAACTCCTTAGAAGCTGAGTTGTGCCTCTGTAAAGAAATCCTGCAGTAAATAATTACTTTTAAAAATCTAGACACTTAAGGGCAGGTTTATATGTCAGATAACGATCAGCCGCTGATAGACCTCCGTGAATCTGTTCACGTAGTTCTTGTCTCAATGTTGCAAAACTGAAAACCGGTCCCACGAAAGATTACAGAGAAACGTGCTAATCAACTGCACTTGACCCACTTCCCATGTTCACAAGTTTCCTACAAAGGTAATTTTGGGCTGCAATACATCACTTACCTGAGGGTAAATGACAGGGCTGGTGTCAGAGCTGCACTCTGTAGGGGTCCATTCATAAGAGTATTCAGGACTTGCTGCTCCCCTAAATCATTGCAACCATTGCTGCTTGTTCAGCCTCTAGCCTGGCCCAGCAGAAGTTGTGGTGAGAAGAAGGATCAATAGCAGATGGAACGGGCTACTTGCTCAGTGATAACTTGCTTAGTGGCTCCCTTCCTGTCGAGCAAGCAAGCAGGGTTGATGAATAAGAGGGCATCTTACCCAAGGGTCCTCAAAAACCTAGACCTAGCATTGGTATGTACCACTGAATGCAATGGGACTTACTTTTGAGCAGACATGCCTAGGATTGTGCTGTTGAGTTGGAAGACTGCTACCTCTGTTGTACCTGACTCCCCAGGATCCTGACATAATAGAGATACCTATCAGCTTTCTCAGGGCATTCAGGATAGACATGACTCCTCTAGGCTCCAGATAGGCATGACACGGCCAAACACTAGAATAATCAGCTGTCTCAGGGTATGCATGATAGCTTAGCTCTCCTAAGCTCCAGCCCATTCAAATGACTAGTAACTGCCTCAGAGAATTCCCCTGGTAAGTGGAAAGAGCTTACCTACAATGTAATGGACAAAGATTGCTTAGAAGGTGTAAATTAAAAGATAAAACTTACTGCTAACCAAATCTGCTTCTGTATATCGCTTGCTCAACTGCTTATGTGATTCTGTAACTCCCCATTGTCACCATTGTTCTCATTCTTGTCAAAAACTAATTGTATTGTTCCCCATTTGCCGAAAGCGGATTGTGAAGGTATAAAGATCTCCTTCCAACTCTGTTCAAGCACCGCATTCCTCTATGAATGTGGTCCCTGCTGCAGGAATAAATCTCCTCTTTACTTTACCATCCGGTCTCTGGCCTCGTCTGTAACACCGCGGGTACAACACCTCAGTACAAAAAGATTTTGGTTTTGATCTTGTAGCCTTTGCCCTTCTTCTCTCCCTTAGCAAAAGGAATTAGCAACTGAGAACAAATAATTCTGCCTAATGCCAAATCATAAAGTCATGTTTAAAAATATGATTGTTATGATGTATCCTATAAATGTTTGCTGTAGTTAATACGACAGTAAAACAAGGTTCTTAGTAATAACACAATGTGAAGGCTGGAAAGGTAGATATCATAGGAGATGATACACCGAACATTTTCATGAGTACATACTAGGGAATAACATATTGTGCACAATCTGCTCTTTCGATTTTTTCAGCCCAGGTATGGTTCTTGATTTGGACAGATTTTGAAGTTCTCTGGTTTGTTATACAATATCATGACTCTTCTAATGGCAGAAAGTGAAGAGGAACTAAAGAACCTCTTGATGCGGGTGAAGGAGGAGAGTGCAAAAGTTGGCTCGAAACTCAACATTAAGAAAACTAAGATCATGGCATCCAGTCGTCTCACTTCCTGGCAAATAGATGGGGAAGAAATGGAGGTAGTGACAGATTTTATTTTCCTGGACTCCAGGATCACCACAGATGGGGACTGCAGCCAAGAAATTAAAAGATGCTTGCTCCTGGGGAGGAAAGCTATAGCAAATCTAGACAGCATACTAAAAAGCAGAGACATCATCCTGCCAACAAAAGTACGTATAGTCAAGGCTATGGTTTTCCCAGTTGCAATGTATGGCTGTGAAAGCCGGACCATAAGGAAGGCTGAGCGCCAAAGGATTGAGGCCTTTGAATTGTGGTGCTGGAGGAGACTCCTGCAAGTCCCTTGGACAGCAAGGCGATCAAACTGGGCAGTCCTAGAGGAGATCAACCCTGACTGCTCTTTCGAAGGCCAGATCCTGAAGATGAAACTCAAATGCTTTGGCCACCTAATGAGAAGGAAGGACTCCCTGGAGAAGAGCCTAATGCTGGGAACAACAGATGGCAGAAGAAGAAGGGGACGGCAGAGGATGAGGTGGCTCGATGGAGTCACTGAAGCAGTTGCCGTGAGCTTAGGTGGACTCCGGGGGATGGTGGAGGACAGGAAGGCCTGGAGGAATGTTGTCCATGGGGTCGCGATGGGTCGGACACGACTTCGCGACTAACAACAACAACATCATGATTTTTGTGTGGGGATCAGCCATCACACATCAATCAGCACAATTAGAACTTTCATATCAACAGATATCATTTTCTGTGGAGATAGCTCACAGTATGTCTGAGTGAATTCTCAAATCTAGCAATGAAGCATCAAGTAATGAACACTGTGTGACTCCACCTATCAGAGCATGTTCCAAAATGGCACAAATACTTACTATGTTGATTTTTTCTAAGAGTTATATAAAGGCTCCAATGATAACTGTTCTTACGATTGGTTGTGTCCGTAGAGTATGTTTACTGTTGCATGCATACTGTCTTACTAATTTAGTTGCCTTGGTAGGAGATCTGCATCTAGAATGTAGGAGTATTGCTTACTGGGATTCAAACTGGCAGAAAAACAGCTGTGTTTTTAGAAGTGCATCTGAATGCCAAAGGATACAATTGCTTTGTGTGGAATTGCTTTGATTTACATTCAAAAAGTGCATTCTCAGCCATAGGTGCAAACAGTTTTATGCTAATGGCTCGTTTACTCATGAGTAAAGCTGGTTTGTTTCCAGTCAGATTTAAACCTGTACAGGGTTGTTGAGCTGAAAGTTTATCTGTGCAAAACTTTTCAATTGGTTTTTGGAACTGTGCAGTTATCCAATTAAATGGCAAATCTGACCCTACTTACTTTAAAGTTGCCTCCGTGACATCATTGCCTGTTCGTTAGTATTATGATGAAATAAGCAGTTGGAAGGCTGCAGAGTAAGCAGCCTTAACATTTTGACTGCAGAGCACAAAGTGTTGTTGACACAAACCCTGTTCACTTCGGTAACATTCCCTGTTCATGCATTTGGGAGAGCAAGATGTAGAATGTCATTCTGTATTTCTGGCTAATGGGTGAATCGAAGAGCTGCAAGACCAAGCATATTGGTCGAGCTATAATCATACATCTCTGCCTGCTGACCTTTGCCAAATGACTTGACAGAATCAGTCATATTTTTCTGTTTACAAGTTTGTTGATTACATCCAGAATGTTGCCAGTGTTTAAAAGCCTTGAAGCCAAGCCAGCTGCTTGGGAACCAGGCCCAGCACCTGTTAGGAAAAGCACCAAATGTAAGAGAGAATTAGGACTGATTTCTGTTACATTTTCTGTTCTTATAGTAAGCAGTCATGCTCTACAAAATAAGCAGTGGCTTCCACCAAAAGACTTAAGGAGCAAGGGTGGGGAACGGTGGAAACTCTTTCAGCATGAGGGTCAAATTCTGCTCCAAAGGAGCTTTCAAGAGACACATTCCAGTGCTGGTTGGGGCCAAAGGCAAAGGGGTGGGACCAAACTATCAGCATATTGTAAATCAAAGGTCTTCATGCCAATACCCAACCTGTAGCAGAGATATTTAAACCTTTTTGGAATTGAGGAATAGAACTGTGCAAATACTGCACCAAAGGATCGGTCATGGGGGTATAGGGAGTAGAACCATCTGAATCCCAAGGGGCCAGATTCGGACTCTTCATAGGCACCATGCTCTAGCAGAATGATTAGGGAGCTTGTGGCATGGCAGAAGGTGTTGGACTCCAAGTTGCATCAACTCCAGTCAGCAGGATTAACAGGGATACTGTGCGTTCTAGTCCAACAACACCTAGAGGGTTGCAGGTTGCATGCACCTGCTAAGGTATAGGTCGTAGTCTACTATGACCAGTCAGATCTTTGCAAAATAGTTTGCAAAATCAATCAAGTGAAAATTCCACAGGAACACTTAGGTCTTCAGACAGCAGCCCTCAGCTGATGGCTACTAGTTGAGTAAGATGGCAAGGGAAGTAAAAAGGAAGAGTGTAGAGTTTGCACTCATGTAACTAGATGTTTAGGCTGCAGAAGAGTAAGCCTGGGGGTGGGGGCATAATCACTGCTCAGGTAAAAAGGGGGAGCAATTGGCTCGATGGTGCTACAGAAAGGAGGAGCACAGTTCAAATGATCCCCCCTGCACGCCTGAGAGAAAACCTCATGCATGTGAGCAGAAGAATCAACTGGACAGTGGTGCCCAGCTTTCAGGCAGGGCTGTTCAGCGATTCCCCCACTCTTTTCCCTTTCTTGCTCCCACACACAAGATCCCCTTTCTTGCAAGCAGCAGCAGGTTTGGAAGCCTCTCTAGCAAGCAGAAGCAAGAATGGGGGGCGGAGCAGTAGGGGGATCAGCTGAGTGGTACAGTTCCAACTGGGCAGCCAGCGGACTCTTGCATGAAGGAGCCAGGGGGCATCAGCAGAGTGGCACTGCTCCTTTCTGCAGTGCCATCCAGCTGATCAGCCACTGCTGTCCTGAAGAGTTTCAGGATAGGAGGCAGGCAGAGTGGGAGCACCTCTGACAGTTACAAAACACGGCAGTGTCAGAGATGCTCTCTGGCTAACATGCTACGCTTTCCAGGCAGGTCTCTGATTCTGGCCTTTGTACCACAAAGAATTGTGTTTCCTGGGTTCAGAAGACACAAGAAGTCCTTGTGATACTGAAGCCCTAGAAAAGACCATTGTTTCTGTTAGTGTTTTCTAAAGGCCAAATTTACCACTTTGAAATACTGCAATAGCGTTTGGACAGGATAGACCAGCAATGGTAAAAAACAAAAAACCACCATGGCTTATCATGTTGTTAAAAAAAAATAGCCTCCATGTTGGAAGTCATGTTTGACCTTGATCCCAAGATCTGAGAAGATAAAACACCATCTATCTATGTAGGTAAAATTCCCCATGACTGTTAAATTTAGATGGGACATGAAGATCCTTCCCAAGAAGACTTAAGCTGCATCATTCTGAACTTAAGGTTTGTTTACATATAGCAGGTGGATACATTCACCTTATGATACCAAAGCATCTACCTAAAGTGGCAATATGAAATAGCAACCAGACGATATAGTATTAAACATTCTTTTGAAATCCAGCAAAACCACTATATATTACTGTAGTTGAGCTACATGTGCAGGTTCCATTGTTCAAGGAATTGTCCAGCAGCATGAACTGTGGCCTGTGCATTCAAGGACTATGTTCCACAGTAACAGCAAGTGCAGAAGCTACCACCAACCATGTGCATTTGATGGAGTACAAGAAACCAAGTGCCTGCCCAAAGCCACAGAGGAAATGTAGGGGAGCATGTGGAACAATCAGCAATGCAATATGTGGTTGGTTCACTTGCATTAAGGCAAGGGTGGACTTGTAGGTCCAAACAACCAGAAGGCCACAACTTGGGGGAGAGAGCATGGAAGTTGCAGGGCGGAACATTGCACGGGTTGCAACTCTTGCAGTAAGGTATTGGAATTAGGAAATTGTGCGCCAAAAGCTTCATAGAGAAAGGATTGATCTTGATGCATTCTGGGAGCCAGTTTCAAGCACTCTGTATACAAGAGCTGTTCCCTTTGAAAACACTTTTTCCTAATTCTTCGGTTTGCAATGGAAGTCCTGAAAATGCATGGGCGTACTTTGTTGTAAACCACCCAGAGAGCTTTGGCTATGGGCCATAGAGAAATGAAATTAATAAAAATAGCTGAAGATGGCAAGGGTGAGGAGAAATGGATCACACACTGGATATTCAGGCAGTCACTGGCCAAGATGATACTGTACAAATATATGCACAAATTTCACAATTACACCAGCTTTGCTTGGCAGAGCACTTTATTTTCCTTACTCAGGAAACTGGCAGCACAGCTTTTTGCCTGTCCTTGCTCACTCTCTCTGCAAATGTATTTTTAAAATGCTTCGTGAAAACTTTAATTTCCCACTTTATTCTCTCTCAGTCACAGAAATTGAGAAAGGCACCCTTACACTTTTTCCATTCAAAGCCGACTGGTGGTGCAAAGTTTTATTAAATATTTAAATATCACATTGAATTATATAGACAACAGAAGGATGAAGCAGCTTTATAAAAACATTGTAACGGCTATACCAAACAAAACGTATTCATAAGGGAAGGAAGGAGGGAAAGCCTGCAGTGGTCATTTAGGAAATATCCTGTCAGACATACAGTTTTCTTCATCCTGTTACATCATATGAAAAGCCTTTCCATTCTTGTTCACTTATTTTCATGGGAAAAGTTCTGGTCCCACAGCTCTGTGACTATTTGTGTGAACTCTTCTAGGAACTTTTGGGGTAGTATCCTACGGTGTCCATGTGTTTACATTACCCACTGCTTGTATAAAAGGGCATGGGTGTCTCTAAATTAAACAGAGAATCCAGACCAAATGGTCATTTCTGAAATGGGACAAGTCAACAGAGCACATAGAGGGCAGCCCCTCTGACCTATCCTATTCTGGCTGTGTGCATTCCTTCTAGTTTCTGGGGTTAGTTTTAGAAGCACCAAAGTCTTGTTGCACAAGCTGTGGGCCACATTAGTGTAGCTGAAGCAGAAGTGGAACAGCCCTGTTGGATTCTACTCCATGGAGTAAACAGGAAAATATTTTAAGTACTTTGGGGAAAAGGACACTGGAAGGATTAAGCAATGCATCTTCTAATGCTCCATGTGCAGGGAAGAGGGAAACAGCCTATGTCAATGGTGGTGTACATTGATAAATTACCTGGACAAGTGGGATTGTAAACAAAACACTTGAACTCTCCTTATTGTGATGTGTTGACCAGTAAAAGCATTTATCAAGACCTTCTCCAGAAGATTCTAGAATTTGCCAGGCTTTCCATGGACAGCAAGAGTTGTGCTTTCCACATATGTTGGAACACCAAGCCGAGGAGGGCTGACATAGTTGGAAGAGGCAGAGTGCCGCCTGGAGAGAGCTGCAGAGTCATCTTTCAAGCTAACTGCAGAGAAGTCTCATCACTCCACTTTTAGTTCCTTGCCTGAATCCTAATATCTAAAGCAGGGGAAGGGAACTTCAGAGGCTCAAGACCAGTTTTAATCTCCCTGGGGGCTGCACAGTCACTGCTAAATTGCATCAGCAGAACAAAGAGCAGTTTATCATCAAATTCCAGAAGCAAATCACAAGCATGCCCTAAAAAGACTAAATTTAAAGTCTTTAAAGCTAAAATTGGCCTGTTTAGACAACCTGTGGTTTGCCATTGAAATTCACCAACAAGCTCCTCATTGTTTTGTTGCTGCTGCTAAAATTAAAAAAAAGTTGGTGAAGGAAGCCGTGCTCTGGATCTCAAGAATATCCAGCACTGTTAAATCAACAAAGAGAAGCTACAGGGATGGGATCTGCTTCTAAACAAGATTTAAATTCAGACCTTAAAATGAAAGGCTGTACAATTTTCATCTTCTATAACACAAGGAACCACTTTACACAACCATATCCATTGCATGTTGTTTGTAGCTTCAGGTAATGATAGATACTTATGTGGATGCCCATCACAGACCATACAGCAGTACAGCAGAGAGAATCTTCATATTGCCTCCATGTGCAATGCTTTTCAACAGAACCATCTCATATTTGCAACTGCCAGTCCAGTGTTAATTTTTCTTCATTTCTTCGCTGGAGTGATGTACATGCCTATGTGAATCAGACTGAAGATAGTGGTGTTCTGAGCAAAACTGCTGCAAAGCCATGGTGCAACTCAATAGTATCTTCTAGTCATCAATTAGTGTAAGCTGATTGTTGTAATGTAAATATTTCCCTTTTGGTAAAGATGGAAAAAGCAACTTGAGGATTTCAGCATGTTGGAAACAAAACCCAGCATACGTCGAACAGCGCCATCCTATGCATGTTTACTTTTATATCCCATTGCATTTAGTAAAGCTTGTTTCTCAGTTAAATTTCTATAGCAGGGGTGCAGAACATATGTGGGACACCCCACACTTCCATGGGACGGGAAGTTAAGGCTTGAAGCTCCATCCCCTGGAAGAATATCCTCGGTACACATCTGATGTCCAATCACAGGTCAGCAACAGCTGCAAGGATACAGGGTAGCCTGGTCCTCCCGCTGTGCTGTGAGCAGGCACAGTTCTGTGCTTTCTGCCAGCATGAAGAAAAAGCTTCATCTGGGGGTGTTACACTCGGGACAGGCCTGAAAGTATCTGGCCTGGGATGGACAGCATGGAGGATAATCCATCATTCACCCAAAAACATTTCTGCACTTGCAGTATATAGCTACACTCCTATATACTCACCTGGGAGTAAGACACATTGAATTCAATGGGATTTACTCCAGAACAGATATTAGAGGTATGCACTGACACCTTCCTCTCCTAAATTCAACTCAGTTTCTAATTATGTGCTTTGCAAACAGGCTTGACCTTCCTCACTCCCATTCTGAGACTGTCAAATCTGACTCAGGTACCAAACCCAATCCAGTTACTGGCACCAATTAAATTTCAGTCAAATTCTTCACTGATAACAACCGCTTGACTACTTGCAGTCTGTGGGCATTCCCTTCTGAATGGAATGCCCACATTATTTTAAATAAACTGTCTAGAGAAGAAAGGGGATGTAAGCCTTCCGACACTTTGGATAGTGCTTGAAGTTGCTGAGGTAATATTCATGCGACAAGACAGCACTCATGGCCTGGTTAAAGAATACATAGGCCACAACCAGCCACCATGTGAAATTGTTCAATCCAAACGTGATGGCCATCGAAATGTATATTAGGAGTTCAGCCAAGTAATGTGGGCAGGACACCATTTCAAACCAATCACCAAAAGGAATGCTGTGATCCAAGTTTACCACTTTTCCTGAAAATAAGAAGAAAATACAGCAGTTAGCCTTGTCTAACTGAACACCAAGGCTGAAATACCACCAGTTTTTCCAGAATCGGTGTGATTTGTAAATACTAGTTCAGATGAATACTAAATAGTTGCTTCAGAGCATCTTCTTCCTACCATGTATAATCCACCCTCACACATTAATTGGTGGTCCCCTTTCCAACTGGCTAAAGGTCATCTTAGCCAAGAGGAAGGATAGAAATCCATGAAGTCAAAGTGGCCTGCTGCACTGTTTTACAAAGTCCACCACTTTCTTTGTGACTAGTTGCATCTTACTTTCTAATTATTATTTCAATCTGTGTGCCACTACAATTGCCCATATCTGGGCTCTCTGTACAGCTCACAACAAAGTGCAAATGAAGAAAGCTTAATGCTGACCGCACTTAATGTGAATGACAGAACATCAGGATCCAGAGCTAGAACCCATTTGCCTGGACCATATAAATAAAAGGAGTGCCTCTGACGAGTGACACAAAGAGTACAGAGAAAACAAAGAGGTTTTTTTTGGACCCCTGAATCTACTATGTCGACACGATTGTTCCAAATAGATCCCCTAACTCAGGGTTGGGCAACTTTAAGGAGCCAGGAAACCCAATTGCCCTCCTGGAATCCACCAAGGAGTACGCTCCTTCCCCCAATGTTGACATGGCCCCATTGCTGAATGATTGTTTCCTCTAAAATGTGTGTTAGGGGTTGCAAAGTGCAAGCAGAATTGCACTTCCTCAGCAGGGTTTAAGGAGCATGATCCTGCTTCAGAAGGGATGCATTTTTCACACACCTCGTGGGATTCTAAAATGCCTGCTTTTGTTGAATGATTAGTTGCTATGGCAAATTCGACTGTGACAGTGCTCCCCACCACATAACACAGCTCTGGGAACGTGCAGTGGGGCACGGGTTCCGACTGAAAGACCAAAGAGGGGGTGCTGATCACTCTCATCACCACAACACCACAACTCCTTTAATTCTGGAGCAAATTATTTAAAAGATCAGTCTGCAAGCACATTGAAGATAAAGCCAGCATGGATTTATCAAAAATAAATCCTGTCAGACTAATTTAATCTCCCTTTTTTGACTGGGTAACCTCCCAAAGGGACAGAGGGAACACTTTGGAAATAATCTACCTCAGCTTTTGACATACTGCCCCACAACATCCCGACAAACAAATTAACAAAAAGTACTCGATAGAAAAACTGTTAGGTGGACACAAAATTGGCTGGTAAATCGGACACAAAGAGTGCTCATCAATGGCATATTCTCAGATTGAAGGAAGGTAACTAATGGGGTGCTGCAGCGTTCAGTCATATGCCCAGTGCTCTTCAACCTTTTCATGAATGACTTGGATGAGGAAGTGCAAGGAACGATTATCACATCTGAAGACAATACTAAACTGGGTGGAATACTGAGCACCCTCGAAGACATAATGAAGATCCAAGGTGGACTTGATAAACTTGAACACTGGGCTGAAACAACAGAATGAGATTCAATAGGGACAAATGCCAAGTCCTTCAGCTAGGAAAAAGAAATCAAATGCTTTGATACAAGATGGGGAATATGTGGCTCAACACAATCTTGGAGTTTTTTTGGCCAACAGGCTAAAGATGAACCAGCAATGTGATACAGATGCCAAAATGGCAAATGCTATTTTGGGATGCAATAATAGAAGCATTACTTCCAAATCATGAGAAGAAGTAGTTTCCCTATACTCCTCCCTAATAAGAGCCCATCTGAAATACTGTGTTCAGTTCTGGGCACCAAGATTTAAGAAAGATGCAGAAGAATTAGAAAGGGTCCAGAAGAGTGCAACAAAAATGATCCAGGGTTTGGAAACCCTGACCTATAAGGAAAGACTGAGCGAACTGGGCATGTTCAGCCTTGAGAAGAGAAGACTGAGAGGGGCCATGGCATAGAAATGTTTTAATAAATAAATAAATATATCCCTCTGTAAGGACCTCAAAGGCTGCCATAAAGAGGAAGGTCAAGATCTCTTCTTGTTGACGCAGGACACAGTATAATCAACTCAAGCTGTGACAACCCAGCTTCAGGCTAGATATCAGGAAAAGCGTCCTCACTGTCAGAGCAATATGACCATGGAACCAGCTGCTTAGAGAGGCAGTGGGCTCTCTCACACTAGAGACATTCATAAAGAAACTGGACAGTCATCTGAGTGGGATGGTGTAACTTGGTGTCCTGGAACAGCAGAGGGTTGTACCCAACGGCCTTCTTGGCTCCTTCCAACCCTGCTATTCTATGATCCCTATGATTCCTCAATATCCTCAATATGATTCCTTGGCCAGGCCTCACCTAAAAGGCCAACTGAGGAAAATGCCTGGCAGAGGAGGCTACTGGGTTAATAAACAAGACTGATGGAAAGGGGGCTTTAGCACCCCTTCCCCACAAACCCATTTTGCTTTTCAACGTGGGAAAGCCTTCCCAACTTTATGACTCAGATACATCTGCTTCTAAAGAGACATAGGCCCACTGTTGCCACGTGCACTATGGACGATATATTAGATAAAAGACATATTATTATATATTATATAAAAGACAAGCAGCAAGATACATTACCTGATTTATTTTTCCTAAGGTTAGCTAGAATCACATGGCATCTATGCTGATGAAGAGAAGCCCAAATGAACATCATGAGTCCTAGGACATGGTACCAACAGACTGTGAGCTGGTAATCTTTCCCTGAATTATGCAAAAATAGAATATATTTATATAATGAAAAAATATGCCACCCTTTATCAACTTCAGACATCAGGCTGGTGGACACTAAAACATGATCACCATAAGAGTCAGTAGAGAAGCAACATAAAACTATTCTATACATTTAAAATAACTGGCTATATAAAGAAGTTTTAACCTGACACCTAAAGGAGACACAAATTGCAGCTTCTTAGGCTCCTTAGGTTTTCCAAATGATAGTCTCTCCCATTGAGCAAACCTTCTCCTTTGTAATTATATAGCACACTTCCTAGAAGGTTTGGAACATATTATTACTAAATGGATCACTCTGTTCTACTCCAGAAACAAACACACCTACTCAAGTCAGATGCTTACCTTCCCTGACTTTGGCTGGTACTTGACATAACACAGTTAAGCCCACCAGAACATAGTAGCAAAGTCCAAAGCAGTACTGTACAATATGGATGACGCTGTTGGAGAATATGCTGATGTGAAGACACTCTCTTAACCGTCTACAGCTGTTTAACCAGACGAAAAGGCACACCAGGAAAGCAGACAAAGACTCACCACCTAGAAAGCCAACACAGGTTGCTGTGTAATAAACTACTGTCTCCAACCAGATGTGCAAAATTTCATTATACAGACCTTCTGATTTGAAGGCAGGACTAAAAGACAAAGCTCATTATTGCTGGAAAGGCTCAGACACAATGCACTGAGCAGTGAGTCAGAATATCGAGGAACAAGTCTCAGACAATTCAACATTTGAAGTTATTCCTTTACTACCAGGTTAGTCTGCATGAACAATATGGGTCATCAGATAAAGGCAGCAAATAATCTGTAGAAAAGTAATTCTTCCATGCTAATTGAACATGAACCTGCTGTACCAGAATCATAGGGCAAAATTTACAAATACAGGAAGTGTTACAGCCTCCATGGTATAGTACTAACTGATGACTCAAGTGCAAGATTGCACTTCAGAATGCTCTACAGGCGCTCTCTGCTTGTGAAAAGCTGTGAGAAAAGTTCTACCCTAGCTAGCTCTCTGACATGCAGGAAGGTTTTATTTCACATGAAGGAACATTCAGTGGTAATCCTTCCATCTCCTCTTTCAAGTGGGACAGTCCTAGGATTGCCCATACCATTCATTTTCATACCTTGAACACACATCTCAAAAACCTGGGAAAAACTGCATGCAAATAGGTTCTACAGCCTTTGGTGTAACTATGAGTATCTTCTGCTCAAAAATAAAAATGTTTTTGTCTGTTGTTTCATGTTTAAGAGAAATAACTTAAGATCTATTAGGGGGAAAAACAAACAATGAAGCAGATGGCATTCCACTAGTGCAGGCTTCCCCAGTGAACTGGACTACAGTTCCCATAATTTCCAGCCAACAAGATCATGTTGGCTGTGAATGAAGGAGGTTGCAGACCAACACATTTAGCAGGCACCAGACTGAAGAAGGCTGCACTAGACTGTACTGGGGAATGTGGAGCTTGTACCTTCCCTTTAGAAACAGGTAGGTATTCATACCATTCACAGAACTGTCCGTGCATCTGTGCTTGTCCTGCAATGCTCCATCCACAGCGGTGAGTAAGTCCTGAAGCCAAATGGGAAAGGGCCATGATAGAAGCAGACTTTGGATAAGCAAGACTAGCAAGAAGCCATTCCAGGTCACAGACACAACATAGAAGTGATAGAACCACCTGCAGAAGAAAGCATCATCATCATCATCATCATCATCATCAAGCATCTGGCACATTCAGTGGCACTGAAAAGCCCAGAGTCAACTGTCAGTTACCATCTCACAGGGCAACTGATGACTTCACACCTCCCACAAGCATCCAGTTTGCCACTGTGGAAACAGAATGTAGGCCTGGACTGATCTTTGGTCCGATCTGATACAGCTCTTCTTATGCCTAGCACAAAATTCATGCCCTAATTTCAAAAATGAATGAGACTGTTTCAAGTCCATAGAGTGAAATGAGCATCTATTTCTAGAAGATCGGTAAGCTTAAACATGAGTTGCCCATCCAGTTTGCCTGAAATTCTGTGCACAACATTTTTCCCTTCTAATGAAACCAGAAGTCATCATCTCATTTGTTCATTGATAAAGATAAAGCCTGCAATCTTACGCAAACGTGTTCAAAAGGTAGCCTTGCTGAAATTAGTGGAACTTGCTTCCTGGTAAGCATTCATAGAAAGTCAGGCTCCATTGATTTCAATTGTAAGCAAAATTGACACTGCATTGCCATGCTGATGCAGGTGAGTTTTAACAGGCTCCTTTTCTCCCAGTTCAGCCACAGTGTAGAAGGAACACTTTGAAGACAGGACACATAAAGCAAGAGACTGCCCCCTAAATAGGGGCATGCCTTTGTGGAGAATCTTGAGGGCATTGCAGGCCTCTTCCTTGACTTTTCACAGCTCAGGCATACACAAACAAGTCCAACAATGAAATTTTGCAAAGAGGAGTGCTTTTGCCTTCTAGCCAGCCATACCCTCTTCCAGGATACTCTACTCCATCCCCACCCTCAACGAACCAGCATTCCATGGACACCAAACATTCTTTGCCCTCATACTTCTGCAAAATAAGTATTTACAACCCTGCTGATACCTCTCTGTTGTGCAAGGTTGGTGCCACTTCGGCAACATAAGAATTACCACTGGGTTAGTGAGTTTATTACATACAAAGGGTGAGTAACTTATGGCCCTATAGAAGTTTTTGGCCTACAACTTGCTTCAGTACTCACCATGGGCTGTACTGGCTAGGACTGATGGGAGTTGTAGGTCAGCCACCCCTGGTTTAGAGGAATGGAGAAAATAACCGATCCTATATGTTTACCAAGAAGTTAATTGCACTGTAAATTGTGATGGCTAACATCTACCTGATGCAGCAGACTCTAATCCAGCAGTACCCAAACTTTTTTGGGCTGCTGTCCCCTTTCCTCTTGGATGACAATCCTAGCACCCCCACACCTTTCTCTGTCATTGGCTGTTTGCAGTAGAGCAATAGGCCTGTCATCACCCCCTGGATCTTTCCACCACCTCCAGGGGGGCAGTACCACCCACTCTTGGAATCACTGCTCTAATCCATCACCATAAATGTCTCAGTCATTAAGGTGCTGTTAGAATCTTTTGTGTTTTTGCTGCAAGAATGTAAAACAAGCTTTCTAGAAAATATAGTTTCCTGTCTGAAGTCTGACCTTCTTAGAGGCCATAGAACTGGTCAAAATACTTGAGATGATGCCCTGAGGGGTATGCTCTCTTAGGTGTGTCTTAAGAACATAAGAAGAGCCCTGCTGGATCAGACCATCTAGTCCAGCATTCTGTTCACACAGCAACTGCTATACATAGGCATAGTGTTTCTGATCCTGAGGGTAGCATATAGCCATCAGGACTAATAGGCATAATAGCTTTCTCCTCTGTGAATTTACCCAATTCCCTTCTAAAGCCAGCTAAACCCATGGACATCACTACTTCTTGTGCAAATGAATTCCACAGTTTATAACCTGTGTGAATATGTCCTTAATCTCATACCAGTCAGCTTCATGGATCACCATGCATAAAATGTTACACCTTTATCATGTCTCCCCTACTCTTCTTTTTTCCTAAGCTAAAACAATCCAAGATGCTGTGATCTTTCCTTATAGGAGAATTGCTCTTTTCAGAACTTTCCCCCCACAGTATTCTTTTTTCTAGTGAGGTGACCTGAACTGGGCACAGTAGGCAAAGTTTAATCATATCATACGTTGTATAATATTGGCGGAACTGAATGTGTATTATCCTAGCAAGAGGCAAGAACAATTTTAACCACACATCAGGCACAAACACGTGACCAAAGCTGCTCTGCATCCACCCGTAAGCAGCGACTGGAGGACTGGATGCGGTCCCCTAATGGTAAGAGGAAAGCACTCTGCACGTGGCCAGAACCACTGCAGTAACAGGTACAGGCGAGTCGGTAGCACCGAAAAGCACGTCCGTGGCGAAGTTCTGCGGATCAGAGCAACTTAGTAACCTATGCGGAGAGGATCCAGCGGACAACGCTCGCCTAGCCTAGGAAGCTGTTGCCAGAGCCCCTCCATTCACCTCTTGGGCACATCGAACATCTGCAGCCCGACCGGGCGTTGCCAGCCGCTCTTAGTCTTCCCGTAGCGGATCAGGTCCTGAAAGAGCCCCGCAAAGCTGAGCGACGCAGTCCCCGATGGAGGTTTAAGCTGCGGCAATCGCTGAGCCAGCAACGCAGCGAAGAAACTCCCAGCCAGGACCAGCCAAACCAAAGCCATCTTATGAGCCTCTACGCAGGCGCCAAAGCCCGCTACAGCATCCATGCTCTCTACTGCTCACTTCCTTCATAGGAATTTTTTTCTTTTTTAAAAAAGACGCCCACCAATCAGATATTTCCCCTCTGCCAGCCAATACAAATGAAGGATATGTCCGCGGGCTGACCTTCGCCTCAAGTTTACGCAATTGACCAATCATAGTAAACTAAGCAGAGGCTCAGAACCACGATTAACCTGGAAGTTTCCTGCTTCCGTAAGCTGGAAAATTTCGATATACGTCCTTCTTTTATTGGGTTTATTGTCTGTCTCTAATAAAATAAAGGCGAGAGAGATAAAGCAATGAGAGGGTCAATGATTATTTTCTGGAGACGTCACTCTGATTTCTGGACAGGCCTTTTTCCATCGTTCTCGGAGCGGAAGTAAGAGCTGCCCATGGAAAGCAATAGGAAAATGCAGGGGTTTTCATCAAGATGTGCTTCGTCTTCTCCCAAAAGGAAAGCCATTAGCAAAGCAGGAGTCAGTGCTCTGAGTCAGATCTTCTTTCTGCAGAGAATGCCGTTTTGTTTTGTTTTAGTTTTTAACACGTTTAAAAACTTGTCCAATGCCAATCGATTGCTAGTAAGAGGCGAGCTGTGTTTAAGAGACACTGGTTTACAGCGATGGCTGCACTGTAGTCCACACACTATTGAAATCTTGCAGGTCAAAGATCTGGGGGGTGGGGGGAGGACTTGCTTTCGGCTTCAATCAGAGTACAATCCAATGCCTAGCTAGACCGAAAAAAAGTCCTACAATTCCCAATATGCTCTAGTATAGCTGGGAATTGTAGGAGCATGCTGGGAACTGTAGTCTTTCTGCCTAAACAGGCACAATTGTATTCCTAAGCACACAGAAGCCTTGTCACTGTGCTTCTTGAATCCGTATTTTTAAGGGTGCAATTCTATGCATATCTAGACAAAAGCAAGTTCCATAACTCCCAGGGAGCAATAGAATTTATTTTCTGTCTAAACCGGCATAGGATTTCATCTTTGAAAACTGAAATAAATCACATTCATCACATGTAACAAAGCCTCTGTTAGATTAATTCAGGTCTTTGCCGCTACCATTACTTGAGGGGAAGGCTGCTACCTATTTAGCAGCATACTGAATTTCTGGATATCGCACTGTTCTCACTGGGCAGCCATTCCATTCTGAGAAAGATGATGATGATGATGATGATGATGATGATGATGCAAAACAGAACTTGGAGTTTGACATTTCTAAGTGTCCCTTAACTCTGTTCTTGTGCTCTCAATTTACTGTGCTGTTTTCTCCTGCTCTTTAAAAAAGTTTCCTACCAGCTAAGGTTTGTTGGATTCCTGGACTACCAAACTCTGCAAAAACAAGAAGAGCAACTCTTCAATGATACACAAGCTTTAGAAAGGAAGGTTTGAGTACCAATGAGTACTAGTGATAGTATCTAATATCATTTGAAAAAACTTAAGAAATTCCTCCAATTTGTGGGAGGTGGTTTGTTTGTTTTGGGTGGATGTCCTTAGGAAAAATCAGAAGGACTAGAGCTGTGCCTTGTTTGTTTTTTAAAGGGGCTCTGGAGTGAAAATACCAGGACCTTCTCATGCAGTGTGTACATTGCTGCACAGCTGCTAATATGAAATGTGTATAAAGGAAACAATACCTCTTAGGAAGGGACAGAAGTTTACATTTCGGCATTTTTGCCCAGTGGTTGCTGCCTTATTCATAGTGATCTTTGTAGCCAATCTGAGGATTGTTGGGTATACAGGGTAAGGTAAGTCTATAGGAAACAACAAGAATCTTTAATAAAAAGACTTTTATTATGGCATAAGCTTGGCAGATAGGGAGGGTGGGGGGAGCCATTGCAAGCAGTGAAGTCAGAAGAAAATGAAGTGCAAAGGGTACAATTACTGATCATTATGTTAAAGCTGATGAAAAGTGTATAGAGTCATTACAATGATGATTTTGTTGATGCTAAAGATCCCGGGACTGGTAAATCAATTAGCAGCTGTAGATAAACCATGAGAAAATCAGAAGGAAAGGGGGAATTTCTCACCTCTGCCGGACAGGCTGCACATGCCTAAATTCCATTTTCTATAGAATGATGAAAGGTGCTATTGTTCTGTCTTCCTTTCCATCTGGTCAATCTACATTCATTGTAGATGACACTTTAAAAAATGTCTCCACTGCTCTGAGAGAGAGAGAGAGAGAGAGAGAGAGAGAGAGAGAGAGAGAGAGAGAGAGAGAGAGAGACTGACTGACTGACTGCCACAAGACCTGGTATAGTGCTCTGCAAAGGAAATCCCTCACAGTTTTAGTTCACCTGACTGGGGATTGTGTTGGTAGAGTAAGGAGGTAGTTTTTAATGCTGTGGTCATCTTTGGTAATTTCCCAGGTCCTCTTTAGACTAGAGCTTCTGTGTGCTTACTTATTTTTGCTAGTCACATTGGGTTGGATCCAGACTTGGTCATACTTAGAGGAGCCACTTTGAAATCTCCAGGATTTAAGTTAGTCATGATTCATGACTAATAAGTCCTGTAGATTTCAGTGAGTCTACTCTAGATATGACTAAATCTGGATTCAATCCATTCGCTTGTCGTGACTGGGATGATGCTGATGTGTGTTACTGAGTCAAAGTTCAAAACAGAACTCAATCAGTAAACTGATAAGCACCAGTTGATATTCCTCTGTACCCCAAAATATGTTTTGAACTAATCCCTATTATACATATTTTCTCTGGGCCTCAGCCTAGTCACTTTACAGCAGAACTTGAGCTGCCCTAAAGTTTTGTTTTCTAACCCCTGATATTCTCTTGACACTTCTCACAATGTTTGAAATGAGCTTGTTTTCTTCCATTCCTAAAAATGAAGTACTAGTAAGTTATTCCTATATTGTGCAAACTTCAGACTCTTCCCTGACTTGGTGCCCTTCAGATGCATTGGCTTACAGTGCTGGCTTGGAATGATGGGGGTTGTAGTCCGTGCATCTAGAGGGCACAATGCTGGGAAAGAAGGCTGCAAATTTTCATATACATTTGTTCAGAGTTTCAGAACTCAGCTAAACAAAATACCAGTGCCAGCTCACCACTAGATGGTACCAAATCTCTGCCTCTGCATTTTTAGAAGCACTTTATCTCCTAGAGTATTTGAAAAAAAGACTTAATCTAAAGTCTGTAGTCTGAAGTTGCTCAGTAGGACAGAATCATATGTCGTAGATATTTGATCAGATGTTATGTACAAACTTTCCTTTCACAATTGGTTCAGCATTCAGCTCCATGTTCACTAAATATTATTTGGAATCTTTACTAGAAACTTTCTAACAGCACAATACCAAGGGCAGTAGAATCTATTACTTGACTTTCCTTTGGAGATGCTGTCAGTGTCATTTGACTAGCTGCTTTTAAAGATCCTCCTAGGGTCAAATATGGTTTACCATATGGATGAGAATGCTGCAGTTCAAGGGATACAGGCACAATGCTCTCGGAGCCATACTGAAATAGTTCCTAGAGCATAACTGCAGTCTCCATACCCTTGATTTTAGAAGGCTCCTGAGATGCTTTGTGTCCTGAAACAGAGACAGAAAATCCTACAAGCCCTTCTCCCCATATCAAGCTGTAAAAATTAAATAGTAACAAATTAACTAACAATTTGCTGCCCTCTCTGGACACTCATTTTGCCCAGTGTCCATGGTTTTCATGCAGTGCCTGACACAGAAAGTGTTCCCTATCATGGAAGAGGAAATCAACTCCAACTAGGGGAGATCTGACTGACTTGGATTTTCTTTCCTTGCAGTGTGAGAAGAGTTTAAGATAGCAACCACTTTTTACTTCAGGCTGCCAGACTTAATGAGTAGTGATGTACAGTGGCCCAAATTCAGCTCAATGCTTTGCTGAAAGGAAGGGGCTACATCCTCTCCTTTCCATCTATTGTATTAATTTCACAGATGCATCTGCTGTTTCCCGAGAACATTTTCAAAGTGGTGAATGTAGTGACAACACTAAACCTAAATTGTAACGATAAAATACAATTATAAAAGAATCTCTGATCAGCCATAAAATGATAGCTAGGTTATACCTTAGGGAAAGCCTGTGTAAAGAGATTTCTTAAGGAAATTTCTAAAAGTCAGAACTGTAGGTGCCAGTCTAATGTAAATGGGGGCCATATTCCAGAGAGTGGGTGCAAATCACTCTTAGGAACTTTCCTAAGGTGAACCTCAGGACCATGCAGCACCATCAGAAGGGCTCCTTCAGAGGATGGCAAAATTTGGGCCAGGGACATAAGGTTGAGGCCTTCCTCGCAGTAACTTGGTGCTCAGGTTTTCAGAACCTTAAACTTGGCCCAGTAAATTATTGGCAGCTATCAGTGCAGTTATTTTAGAAACATGCTATCAAGAAGCCTGCAGCCCAACAGATGCACTCTGCACCAAGGGCAGCATCCAGATGATGATGATGATGATGAGTGCGTTGTATTTATATTCCACCTTGTTTTCTCTTGTGAGGAACCCGGGGCTCCATTTTACATAGCTCCATTTTATCCTCATAGCAACACCAGCCATTTAAAAAATTAATAGTTGGAGAATTTATATATCTATTTTTTTAATATTTTATGGGGGGGCTTGAAATTTTTATATGAAATTATTGCTGTTTATATTTTTAGTGTTGTTTTTAGTGTCTTGTGTTTTATCTGGGTATCTCATTGTTTGCATATGGGGTTTTAATGTTTGCAAACTGCCCAGAGAGTCCCCTCGGCGATTGGGATGGTATAGAAATGCAATAAGCAAGCCAACAAACAACAACCCTGTGAGGTAGATTGTGCTGAGAGTGAGTGAGTGGCCCAAAATCACCCAGTCAGTTTCATGGCCAATGGGACCAGATCTCCCAGGTCCAGTTCCTGCACTCTAACCACTTTACCACACTGACTCTCATGCCTGCACACATGTGCACATTTTCAGAGAAGCCTTTAAAAATATGTGCGCTCGCATTTATGTGTTTGCAG